AGAATGTGAAATGTCCTATGGTGGGGTGCAGAGCACCGTCAAAGTTGTGAATGAAGAGGATATGGCGTAGAGTGATCAGTGAAGCATTTCTTTGTGTATTTATGTGTGTGTGTGCTCGAGACAAGGCTTTTACTGAAACTACAGTTCCCCTTAGGCAGAGAGGCCTTCCTGTCTTGCCTACGCTTCCACCGGTCTCCCTTTCTCCACTGAGGCTGCAGATACGTGCTACATCCACTGCACCAAGCTTTCACAGGGGCACTGGGGGTCCAAACTCTGGTCCTCGTGCTTGCATGTCATGGACTGAGCCATCTCTCCAGCTTGTTTGTTTGTTTGCTGCTGATGTTGTTTTGCTTGGAAGCAGGATCTCACATACCTGAGGTTTAAGCCTCAAACTTCCTGTGTACCCAAGGAAGGCCATGAACTTATGATCCTGCTGCTTCTATCTTTCCAGGACTGAGATTACATGTAGGGATAGTCCATTGTGCTCAGTAGTCGTGTGGTAAAGGGCTTCTTTCATGCTAGCTTAGACAAGCACTCTACCAACTCAGTTACATGCCCAGCTCCAGTCAAGTCCTGTTTTCTGTTGTTGGCCCAGGAGATTGTATGCTGCCATGTTGCCTGGCTGGGTAATCTGAGACATACTCCTCTAGCTTTGAGCCATAGGGCTCTTTGATTGTAGGTGAATATTCTTCATGGGGTATTTACTTTCTAGAAGGTTGATTTTAAAAAGAACATCTGGCCTTGTTTGAGGTGTGTGTGTGTGTGTCTGTGTGTGTGTGTGTTTTACACAAGCATCATGTTGGTGCATCTGCCATGGACATAGGTAGAGGATAGAGGACAACCTTGAGCATCTATGCTTGCATAGCCAGCACCGCACCCCTGTTGAGCCATCTCTCAGGGGCTCAGCCTTTTTTTTTTATAAGAAGGTTACATGCCCCATTTAACCCCTACCACAGGTCTATGAAGAACACTTTGTATTATTATTTGGTGTATGTCTGTGTACATGATGGGCAATTGTGTGGATATCAGAGACAATTTGTACCTGCTGGGGTCATCAGGCTTAGAGGCAAGCACCTTTATCTACTTACCATCTCATTAGCCCCTGAAGAGGATACTATCCTTATTCCTATCTGAAGAGATCCCATCCAACAATGAGAGATGCACTCCCACCCTGGATTTTTGGGGGAGGGTCTAGGCTCTGCCCTGGATGAAACGACAGACTATGGACACCCCCATGGAGGGCCTCACCCTCCCTGGGGAAATGAGGGGATAATGGGGGGATTGGTGGGAAGGAAAGGGAGGAGGGAACGGAAAGGGAGAGGGACCTTGAACTGACATGTGAAGCAGCCTTGTTTCTAATTTTCTAATTTAAATTTAAAAATAAAATATAAAAAAGAGATCCCAAAATGTTAAATAACATCTAATTGGGACAACACTCCACTGCTAGTTGCCCCCCAAATAAGATCCAAGTCTTTTTTATCCCTGTCCTTTCCAAAACATCTTCCCTAAACAAGATCAAGATGAGGGCAACCTAATGTACTTCTTGTAGACTTTGTCTCTGACAACAGCACTGTTGCAAACAATGTTCACACTGCCACACCCCTAAGGACAAGCACGATAAAAAACAAAGCCATCTTTTACTTTCCAGTTCAGTGCTCTCAACACACTCCATCCATCCCCTCAAGACCTGCCAAGCAGCCAAACAGAAAACCAGCCTCAACAGAATCTCAGCAATTATCACTTGACTTTTCTCCTTCAGTTTCGTGCAAATAGCTTAATAGTAGTGAGGTTTATGAAAGCAGCTGCAGTCTGTCTGGCAGCTCAATTGTTCTGCAAAGTTCAAGGCAAGTCGCTTTTTAAATGCAGTTCTAATACCCCTATGAGTAGATTTTTTCCCCTAGCAACACAACTAAGAAAACATCGGTGTTCTCAAAAACAATGACAGTGATTTTTCCCAAATGCTCTACATTTTCTCTTTTGAAACAAGTAAAAGGACAAATCAGACAGGTTCTGAGAACCTGTGCTTTGGTAGGAGGTGTAGGGGTTGGCACAAATAAGAATGGAGGCATTGTTTCTGCTTTGAAAGAAAGGTAGAATTTCATGGGTGCGTTCTGATTCACTGAATATTTTAAGGTTCACATCTGACTCTATGAAGAGATAACAGCAGGCGGCTGGTGGAGGGTACCGGAGAAGGGAAGGAGGCAGCGGCGAGGTGGAGTTCTTATGCCTTGGTGGAGGCAGGGAAAAGGCAAGCTGACAGCAAAAACAGTCCAGGAGAGGACTGAGCACAATAAGGTGGCACCTACTCCTCAAGCCAGCACTCCAGTGACTGGTGAAGAATTACTGGGAAATGGAAGCCAGCAGATGCAGTAGAGCGAGTGACAGGTCATGGAAGAGGCCATCAAGACCCTGCCTCAAGAATAATATAAATAAATAGAACTGTAAGGAGAGAGAGAGAGAGAGAGAGAGAGGTAGCTCAGGTGTCTGAGTGTCTGCCTGTGCTTTGCTTGAGCTCCAACAGGAGAGGAGGAAAGGGTGGGGGAGGGGGGCGGTGACAGAAAATGACCTGTGAAAATAAAGAGATAACAGTAAAGCAGCCAGGAAGACTTGTCTGCAGTAAAGCGCTGTTTAGAAAGTACTGGTCCTTACCCAGAGAAATCTGGCACTCTTGGCAGCACAGGTGGGAAGGAAGGACTGGATGTGTGGGTGGGTGAGTGGGTATTTTCTTCTTGAGACAATGTCTCTCTCTATAGTGTAGTCTCTCAAAGTGTAGGCGTAGAACTCAGCGATCCTCCTGCCTCAGCCTCCCGAATGCTGGGATTACAGACACCCACCACGCCCAGCATATCCATCTGGCACTCTCACAAAACCTATGAAGTGGTCCTTTCTTCAGTTCTAACCAAAATGACCTCCTTGATTCTCTTGATTTTTCCTCCACTGTCCTTCCTCCAGGTATCCACCTGGGTGGTTCTCTCCATTCTGTCAGGTCTCTATTCCAGTGGTCGCCCTGCCCTAACTGCACTGCTATCTCCATCGCCTCGTTTTCTTAAAGCTCCAACCACCACCCACTACTTTGTCCATGTTTCGGATCTAGTCTTTCTTAAACCTTCCCAGAATAAGATTTGCACGTGAACCGGGATTTTGTTTTGTTCACTAGCATCTACAACGCTGAACACCTGGGGGGGGGGGGAGCTACAGGACCCTGCAAATCTGAAGGAGCATGTGAGGTGGGGCGGAGGGCTTGGCAAGATGCGTGACTCCTGTGGCAGGCAGCTTCTGGGCAGCACTTCCTTTGCTTTTTCTCTCCTCTTTCCTCCTCCCCTTTTCAGAGGCTAGTGACAAGCAACAGGAATTAGACCAGTTCAAGATCTAATGGAAATTAGAGGAGGGTTGAGACACAGAGAACAAACGCAGACGCAAAAGTAACGGAAACGGGTGAAAAAGTGAGGCGGCGAAAAGGCCAACAGACGTCACTCTCTCTGGTCACGTTCCCCGACTCCCCCGCGGCCGGGCGAGGCGCTCCTCCTCCGCCTGGTAGCCGCCCTGCAGCGGACGCGGGTCAACACCACTTGGGAGAAGGCCGGGCCGGTGGTCCCGCGAGGGAACCCCACACCGACACCCCAGAAATCGGCTCTCCTCAGGGGGGGCCCTGCGCCAGCACCCGGGGAGGGGGGGCGGGCAGGGAAGGTGGGGGGGGTGGGTTGGCGCGGGCCGTGAGGACTACATTTCCCAGGATGCAGCGCACCAGCGCGCCTGCGCAGTGCGGCCGGAGGCGGCGGTCTGTTCTCCGCTGAGGAGGAGTGGGGCTGAGGGAGGCTGCGGGTGAGAGTTCAGAGTTCAGCAGCAGCAGCCCGAGCCCATGATTCCCATATGCCCTGTAGTTTCTTTCACCTATGGTGAGTCTAATGTGGCCCGTGGAGGCCTCTGCCCTGCCCTTCCCCAGCCCCGGGCGGCGGGTAGGCGCGGGGGTTGGGGCCAGCTCTGGGGAGGAGGCGGCGGCCGCCACCCGGGCGTGCGAGTGAGTGCGGGAGTGCGGGGAGGGAGGTGGACGGCGGTGCGGCCGCGGCCTGGCCGGCCAGGGCGGCTTCTCACGGCCCTCTTTCTCTCCCCTGCCCTTCCTCGGCGCCCCGACCCCTTCGCGGCTGCCCTCCCGCCATGGGACCCGACTCTCCGTGCCCGCCGCAGTGCCCAGCCGGCTGGGGGAAGATGCCAAAATGGCGACCGGCAACTACTTTGGATTCACCCACAGCGGGGCGGCGGCGGCGGCGGCTGCGGCCCAGTATAGGTAACGGCTCCCCGCCCTCTCCCCGGCCTCTCCCTTCGCGCCCCGCGGCCCCTCTCCCGCCGACACCGCGGCCCGCGGCCGCCCCCGCCCCGAGCCCGCGGCGGGTGCGGCCGGGCCCCGCACCCTCCCCACCCCGGCCCTTGCCAGCCCTGTTCCACCCCGCCGGGCCTGGGGAGCGGACCCCCCGCGGGGCGGCGGGGGCGGGGGGGGGGAGAGACTGGCGAGGGTTGGGGACGTGGAGGGCCGCCGGGGCCTCGGACGGCCCCGAGGTAAAATGGCCTCCCGCGGCCTTGGAGCGGAGCCGAGCTGCCCGCCGCCGGCCCCCTCGTCGTCCTCGCCTCCGCCCTGCCAGCCCCCACCTCTTATCTTCCTCTGGCTCGGGCGATGGAGAGAGCGAGCGGAGGGGCCGAGGGCCGAGTCTCAGGCGCTGCGGCCTCTACCGCGACGCCCACGGAGACCAGATTACGAGTCTTTGTCGGCACCTTCTCCTAGGTCCTGCGTCCCCGGCCCGTTTCCCCCGCTAGTCCCTCAAAGTAACTGCCCGTTTGCTGGCGTCCCTGCATCCACCCACCCACCCACCCACCCACCCACCCACCCACCCACCCATCCATCCATCCATCCATCCATCCATCCATCCATCCATCCATCCATCCATCCATCCATCCCCATTCCTTTTGGTTTTCTTGCACCGAGAGAATGTTAATACGCCAACCACCTGTGAATTGTTTAGCTGTGAGCCGGGGAAAGATGTGCGAAGTTTCTAGTGCATAGCCTATTTAACCATTGAGCACGGTTCCAGGTGGATCGGTGATTCTCCTTTGGGGTCTCTCCCCCGCCCTTGGGAAAAAGAAAATGCCAGTGACTTTATACTGAGTCATTGTGATGCGCGGAATGAAACCTCTACCTTCAGATAGCTGTCACTGCTAAAGTAGCAGTAATTCTTTGTACATCTTACCGCAAAAGCAAAGACAAGACGCTGTGTTTGTTGTACTATTTATGAATCAAAGTAAGACAGTCTCTTGGTTGACGCCATAAGCACACAGCTCTTGAGTATTGTCTGTGTATGTATTACATCGAGTATCTTTTGCACATTAGGTTCATTACGTCTAAACTCAGGTGCTTTGGGTTTTTTTTTTCCCACCTTATTTACCTCAGGCGAGTTGTGTATTTAAAAGAGCACATTTGAAAACAGAAATTTGACTAACAATATCTTCTTGATTTTTGTGACATTTGGAACATGTATTTTTGAGTTTCCAACTGCCTTACCTGTAAAATGGGGTACTGGGTAATGTTTATGAGATGAACGTTCTGAAGAAGAAAAAATTTACCTGATTTTATGAACTACTAAGATAAATTTACTGCAAGAGGTACTATTTTATATATTACTGGAAAAGAAAATCTCTGCCAATCAAAATAAACACAGTGCCCTTTTTTAAAGAGGTTATAATTTCTGACATTGGTATTTTACTGATTGTTACAAGCCTAACTTCGTGGCCTTTTACAAGTCTCTTTTCTTGAAACCTCTGTTGAGAAAAAGAGCTGAAATTGTATTGTTAGAGCAAAGTCTTGGGACATTTCAGACATTAACATGTCGTTTGTTTTACAAGTTTTTATATTAAACAGTCTCAAAATCTTTTGTGAATGAAGAGAACATAATCAAACTAAACTATTTTTTGGGAAAATGAAAAAGCTGATTACATCTATGGTCATAAATCTGCTAGCAAGTACGATGTGTTCTAGAAGATGTGTTTATAAAAAATTTGTCCATTTGATACAGTATTTTTCTGTTTTCTTAGTATCCATTAAATGACAGATATGTTATTAATTGTTTACTTACTGAAAATTGGTAGTTTTGATGCAGTTTTTACGGTTTTTTAAAAAAGTGCAGGCCTATAGATTTTTTTCAAAAAAATTGAATCTAGTCAGTATTGTTAGAATATTGAAATGCAGCTTGAGTAAAATGATCATCCAGCTTACTGAATTAATTGATAATGTATTAAGAGAACAGGCTAGTCTTGATGTTAACTATACATACATTACCAAAAGTAATAGCCATAGCTCTGTCCTTTTACATAGGCATTTATGAAAGTTACTGGCATTTAAAAAACAAGAATTCGTGTCCAGTAATGCTAAAGTTTTGAGGAAGATGAGTATTAGCACTAGGGATGTTGTTAATTCTGGCTAGACATAGTTATAATGGAACTTAAAGAAGTGGAAAGGTTTTAGTTTGCATGTATATGTATATGTTTCTTAATTTGAAAGATCTCAAACTTAGGGAAGTCTCTTTTAAGTCTTATGTATGGATGAATTGTTTTGTTGTCATTGACCATAGATAACTCAGAGTGAAAAGGAAAAAACTCAATTTGATTCTGGTTCTTAGCTTTCTTAGTCACAGCACTCTACAATATATTTGACTAAATTTACTTTAAATTCACCTTTTCTCCATGCTGGAAATGGAACCTTGTGTCTTTCATGTTCTCTGGAAGTTTGTTCTACCAGGAAACTACATCCCCAGCCCTAGATTTGATATTTGTAATGATATACTAAAGAGTTAGTTTGATGTATTGTAGGGATTATATAAGTTTCAAAGAGCTTTTAGATTGTTGTCATTTGTGATAATTCATATTAAACATTTCTGTGTTGAGCATTTATTCAGTCTTTGTGCTGCAAAGTCCCACTTTCTATTTTTCTTCTTGTTTTGTGTATTTTTTTAAGGACAAGTAAACCTAACAATGCCATTTGTCTTTGGAAGAATTGCTTCCTATTAGAAAAAATTGGGAACTTGTATGTGTTTATATATTTCTGATAAGATGTTTAATTTATGGGCGGAGGCACAAGACAAAGCAGATTCTCTCATGGAAAATAACCAAGATGGCTTCATGGCAGAAAGTGAGCTTAGTTGGAGAATTGTGTTTGAAAAGGCCTACTGTTAGACACACAAAACTTAAGGGGGGGGGGGGGGCTGGAGCAATGGCTCCATAGTTTTTTTAGGTTTTTTTTGTTTTTCCAGACAGGGTTTCTCGGTGTAGCTTTGGAGGCTGTCCTGGAACTAGCTTTTGTAGACCAGACTGGTCTGGAGTCTCAAACTCGGTTAAAGGCATGAGCCTCCACAACCTAATTCGATGGCTCCATAGTTAAGAGCAGTGTCTGTTCTTCCAGAGGACCCAGGATCAGTTTCCAGTACCTACATGATAGCTCACAACTGTCTGTAACTACAATTCAAGGAGATCTGATCCCCTCGCACAAACATACATGCATGCAAAACATACAATGCACATAAAATAAAAATAAATTGTTCTTTAAAAAAAAAAGTAAGCAGGGGTGTGGTAGAGCACACCTTTATTCCCAACACTTGGGAGGCAGAGGCAGGTGGATCTCTGAGTTTCAGATCGGCCTGGTCTACATGAGTTCTGGGGGGGTGGGAAGGACACACTACACAGAGAAAAGCTATCTCCAAAAGCAAGCAAGCAAACAAAAACTTCTTTAAAAAGAAAAGCCTTAGGGAGAACTACTGTTTTAGGGAATACCACACTCTTAAATATATATACATATGTATCATGTAGACCATGTTATCCTCAAACTCAACCTTGAACTCTAGGTCTTCTTGGTTCCACCTTCCAAGTATTGGGATTATAGGCACTGCTACCATGCCAAGTTGATTCTCTTATTTTTTGAGGCAGGGTCTCACATACCTCAAGCTTGAGCCCACTATATAGCCAAAGTTAGCCTTAAACTTCTGATTCTCCTGCCTTATAACCTGCAGTGTACTTCTGTTAGAAACCAAACTCACCTTATCCAGCTAACCTAATTCTTTTTCATTTGCTTTTTACTATTGTGTGGGGGTATGTGCATGTCCAGTTAAGTGTGTAGAAATGAGAGTTCAACTTTCAGTAGTAAATTCTATCACTCCATCATGTATTTTGGGCACCAAACTTAGATTATCGGGCTTGTAAGACTAGTGCTTTGGGGCTGGAGAGATGACTCGGAGGTTAAGAGCTTGCTCTTCCAGAGGTCCTGAGTTCAATTCCCAGCAACCACATAGTGGCTTACAACCATCTATAGTGAGATCTGGTGCCCTCTTCTGGCAAGCTGACATTTGTAGGCAGAACACTGTACATAATAAGTCTTTAAAAAAAAAGACAAGGGCTGGAGGGATAGCTCAGCCGTTAAAGGCTAGGCTCACAACCAAAAAAAAAAAAAGACAAGTGCTTTTATCTGATGAGCTGTCTTGATGGCCCTAAGATAATCCTTAATAGGGAGTGGAGTTGGGGGGGCTTCCTAATGTTTTCCTAACAGAAATCTTTCACCCTCTTTTTTTTTGGGTTGGTGTGGTGCTTAAGACAGGGTTTTCCTGTGCATAGTCCTGGCTGTTCTGGAACTCACTGCAGACCTGGCTAGCCCTGCCTCTGCCTCCGTAGTGCTGGAATTAAAGTCATGTACCACCACTCCCAGCAGTAAAGTTTTTAGAGGGTTATGGCATATGTAAATACATAATGAAATTATCATAATTTCTGTTCTCCAGTGAGCAGGAAAATAATGATTTCTTTTAATAAGTTTTCCTTTTGGTTTTCAAGACAGGGTTTCTCTGTATTGCTTTGTAGACCAGGATGGCCTTAAACTCAGAGATCTGCCTGCCTCTGCCTCCTGAGTGCTGGCATTAAAGGCAAGTGCCACCAACACTCGGTCATTTCTTTTAGTATTTTAAGCAGCTATTTTCTCTACACTTACTCTTGAGAAAGAAAGACCTTGAGCATTTCTTGCCATTTCATATTTGGTCAAGGTGCTTGTCTATTCTCTGGATTACTTAAACTGGTTTTATTTCCCTGCATGTAACTTTCAGTATTATTGATGTCTGAATGTTCCTCTACCTTCAATAAAGTTGGCTGTTTAAAATAACGATTTGGCAATATTTTTACCATTCTTACCAATATTTTTTGAATCCAGAGAATGTAAAGGTTGCATAAACGTGCAAAATAGTCACTCCCTTTATTAGATTCTTAACAGACCTACTGCTTTAGCTTTCATTCATAATAACATTCTAGCCATGTGTTACCATGCCTACTTGGTGAACATTAAGAATCTTCTAGACAAAAGAAGGCATCTTATCTAATGATTTTGAGATTTCTTTTGCATATGTGTATATAAATGAAAAGTGTCTTATTACTAAAATAATTTGGGCAGGCAAATGAAATGATCACCTTGAATGGGCTGATTAGCCAGTGAGTTTAGGTTTTTTATTTTCTTTTATACTTTCTATTTGAATGTAGAATTAATAATATTGTCTTAAAAATAACACTAGTAGGGTGTAAGACTAATTGCTAATGTGTAAAGGGAAAGACAGAACGACCAGGTGAACAGGTTTTGAAAACTGTCATGAAGATGAAATTTTACTGGCTGTTAATTTTCTTTTCAACTTCTATGGATTTTTAGTTCTTACATTGTTGAATTAGAGACCTTAGGATACATATATTAAATTATGAAATAATGATGCAACCCCCCCCAAAAAGGATAGTTCTATAGACTTCTGGTATTTCCTTTGTTTTACTAGTAGCCTAGAGAGTAGGTTGAAAATACTGAAGTATAACTTGGTAAGGTTTTGTTTTGTCTTGTTTTTTGTTACTGTTTTTTTGCATAGTGTGTCCAAAGCCTAGAATTTAATCCCTAGTACTACTATAAAGGAGGTTGGTGGATTATAGAATGAACCAAAATAACCCTGTATAGAATGTTGAGGTGAATGGGTAGGTTTGCTTTAGATTGCCTTTATGGAGGTTCACTGCCTCAGAAAGATTTAAATTGGGAACTAGTTAACCTTACGTTTGACTCTCAGCTCCATTT